TCAATTCATTTTTCATCCCACGAAAATATACATTTATTATATTAAATATTATTTGATATTTATTTATAACTAGATTTTGATCCACGCAAAGCGTAGGATTAAATACTTAAATATATTTTTTAATCGATTTTAATACTTAGACGTGTATTATAATATTTATAAACATACAAAATGATATATATTTTGCATAAATGTAATAAGTTAAATTTTGATCAAACATATTTTGATGTCATTGTTTTGATCAACTTTGCATAAAAATATTAAAACTAATACAAATGTTATTTATTTCAATTTTTTGGAAGTGTAAAATAAATTTTTATTATTTTTGTAAATAAAGCATGCGATAAATCAAATGAATCTTTAGATTTTTATGAATTTATCGGACATACCAAAAGAAAAATATATGTTTTCTAATAATAAAATGTAAAAATATTTATAAGTGTAGTTATCATCTACAAATAAATAATATTGTTACAAATATAATAATGAAAAGCTTCTTAATATATATAATTTTAGGAAAAAAAGATGATATGGTAAGTCTAAATATTATATTTAGTTGAATTTAAATCTTTAAAACATGTATTAATGGATTTATGTTATAAAAATAAAAATATGTAGATTTCCACCATGATATATAGTTTTAAATTTTAATATAAATATTTTTATTGGTTAATTTAAATGACATGTTCTTTAAAAATTTCATTGAATAATACATAATTTTTTACCAAATATTTACTCAATTAATATATAGAAAATTAGTGATACTTTTAAAAAAAATATATAAATGATGACAAAGAGTGTGCAGGAGAGTCGTTGATTTCTAGTAAATAAACATTAAATAGTTGGATCAATTGGCATGAGACTAAATTAATTAAAAATGTATAGATTAAACATACACAAAATTCATGAGTATAATTGTCAAAACTTTTTGTATGGTAACATGAAGATAGTGAGTAGCCACATCAAGATAGTGAGTTCTTCGATCGAAAATCATCAATGGTATATATTAAATTAAGTATAGTCGTAAATAATAATTGAAAAGAGGTTTATTCGATTAGTAATTGAACTCTACTTATTATTTTGTTTAATGGACCATATCATTGTGAGTTTTAATAACCTTCACTAAAAATTCCTTAAACCCCTCTTATGATGACACATAGAATTTTCACCTAGTATCTTCTCTATTAA